CTCTATAGGATAGGGGCGGGGTCCTTTAGGACAACACATCCCGCCTTACTGACAATCGGGATTGAAATACCAACCATGTACTTACAGGTTAGTTTGAGAGAGAGAGAGAGAGAGAGGATCGCTAATTTTGTATGTACATGTACATGTACATGCACAGTTGTCCACATGTACCATAATGGTTAATTGGTAGCTTTGGTGCCAAATTGGTGTGATAAAATTTTGAGAAATCTTGTTGTCAAATTTGTAGCAAGAGTAGATAATTAGTTACCTGTAGCTACTTTTATTCCTAGTAATTGTTGATTTTTAAATTTGATAACGTGTTATAATAGCACAAGATGATTGATTTAATTATGGCAAATGACAAATTCAATGAGTTTAAGCACCTCTAAAATTACCCGTTTTATGATATTGAAGTTGATGCCAATTAAACCTATATTGATTCATTCATTTTTTTTCTCCCTATATTTCTCTTCTCTCTCTCTCTCTGTAGGTTGAAGACCTCATTCGTCAGTTAAGAGGACATTTGAAGACAGTAAAGACTGAAGGAGAATTGAAGCCTTTCCATTCATTCAATGACATAAGAGAGAGGCTAAGACGACCATTGAAACAGCTTGATATAACTGCCTCCGACTTCCTCACTGTATTGAGATTCCTACACAAAGTAAGCAAAAACTATACTTAATTAAAAACAATAATAATAATAATTATTATTATTATTATTATTATTATTATTATTATTATTGATAAAAGATGTAAAAATGCCGTGTAAATTTATAAGGAATAAGTTTATATTTGAACACATTTTATATGCAAATTTTAATTTTTTAAAAATATTTTTCTAGAGAGGTGTAGTATTTTTACATGATTCTCCACGAGTAGATGACAGGAACTCACCAGTAGTAGCCATCAACCCACAGATAATCGGGTTCCTTCTCCAGCGTACCATCAGATCCGGTGAGATGCACGGGGAAGGTAGCATCCTTTCTGGATTCCTCCCCAACGTCCACCCGGCCATGATTTGGGGCGTCGACCCGGTCCTATTTGCCGATGATAATAACTCAGCTGGTATAACAGGCCTTCAATTGATAGATTTCCTCACTTCGGTCGATCTTTGTGCCCCTTTGGTCCCTGGGGCTGTCCTCATACCCTCTTTATTGCCACGCCTACCTCCGGCTGAAACTGTGTTGAATCTAGAGGACCTGAGTCCAAAGAGGGTATATATATTAGGGTACCTCCCCTCATTCTTCTGGTGTCACTTATTATCACGTGTGTTGCGTGCCTTAGCCTTCCATCGCTTCCTTCAAGGGGATACCCTCCTCACTCCTTCCTCCCCCTCCTCCCTCCCTCCTCGACCGGCTAACCCTCTTGTAACGCCCACAGGTGCTAAGCTGTTTCTGTGGCAGAAACATTTTGTTTTCGAGGACATTGACGGGTCGAAGTTGTGGCTGGTTGTGTATGAGGGTGGTCAGCTGGGACCAGAGTCAACCCAGTACTGTGGGCGTATTGATGTCCTCTTGAAAACTGCTACTAGAGACAAAGAGGCTTTACTGCTCAGGATTGTGACTGAGGAAATAGACCAGGTGTGTAATACATGCATGTACAATGTACATGTATATTTACTCGTACATGTACATGTTGTATGCATGTATTTAGTATTTAATTGTATTGTAATACTGTTCAATTATTTTTACATTTGGTATATGTACCTGTACATGTACTTGTGCATTATTAAAATCTTGGTATCTGTTTAATTTTATCTTGTATTGTTTTTATTTGAAATTATTTATACTCAATATCTTAAGTTTTATTTATTGTTTTTATTTTCATTTTTTTCTCCTCTTCCTCTTCCCCCAGTTGCTCACGGAGAAGTATCCTAGTCTATTGGATGACTACTTGACTCCTAGTCTTGTTGATGTCCTTGTTCCTCTCAGCTCCAGCTGGTTCACCACAGACCTCCTCTCCCCCTCCTCCTCCCCTGACAGCCTTCATGAGGCTTTCGGCATAGGAGGAGGAGGAAGAGATGAGGATGAAGAAGGAGTTGCTATACCTAATCTTTCATACTCTCTCAAAGGTCGTGGCCACTCTTTCTCGTCTATTGTCGATAGTACTAGTCTCCAGTCCTTTAGCAGTATACAGGGAACTCTTCATGAAGCTTTTGCTAGCATAAGAGCAACAGGTAATTGTACATGTACATGTACAGG